TGTATAACTTGCTGTTGAAATGGAATACTCAGGATGAAACTATTAAATCTGCTATGATTAAGTGGGCACAAGATGTTGGACATAACATAATGATGGCTGACTGGGAACAGTTATGGACCACAGGTATGAAGTTTACGGCATGTAATGCCTTAAGAGAGAATATTATGAAAATGATATACAGGTGGTACATGACACCAGTCAAGCTTGCAAAAATCTATCACTTGCCTGATAATAAATGTTGGAAATGTAAAGAGACTGAAGGTACATTCTTTCACCTTTGGTGGACTTGCCCAAGGATTAAGGCTTTCTGGGAGATGATCTATAATGAAATGAAAAAGGTATATAAATATACCTTCTTGAAGAAACCAGAGGCTTTTCTCCTGGGCATGGTCGGCCAATTGGTGCCAAAGAAGGACAGAATTTTCTTTATGTATGCCACAATAGCAGCAAGAATACTTATTGCAAAGTATTGGAAGACACAAGATTTACCCACTCTGGAAGAATGGCAGATGAAGGTGATGGACTATATGAAACTGGCGGAAATGACTGGCAGAATCCGAGACCAGGGAGAAGAGTCGGTGGAAGAAGATTGGAAGAAATTTAAAGACTATCTACAGAAATATTGCAAAATTAATGAATGTTAGAATGATGTCAGAATGAAATTAAGTGGTCTTAGCAGCAATGTTATAAAGGTGTATGTACAAATGGATTGTTAACAGATGAGAATCTAAAGTTATAATATGTTAAGTTAAAGGATTAAGACAAAAACAAAGAGGGAAAGGAATTGCTGAATTAACTAATAGAACTGGAATACAAAAAAGGGAGGTGTGAGGAAGTCAGGGAAGTAAGGAAATGAAATGTAAGTTATGGAAAGATCGATGTGGTTTTTTTAAAGTGCTTTTTATCTTTTTTCTGTATTTTGTATTTTTTTCTTTTTTATTTCTTTTTCTTTTTCTTTTCTTTTTATCTATGTAATTTTTTCTTTGAAACTTTAATAAATATCATTTAAAAAAACAAAAACAGAAATGGAAACAAGAGGAAGTACCGACGATACAAGAATGGAGATTGAAATTAACGGACTATGCGGAACTGGATAGTCTGACTGGGAAAATAAGATATGTTCGAAACCAAAAGTTCATTGAAGATTGGGGAAAGTTTGTAGATTATCTGAAAATGCTATGTGATGTGCAAACAACGCTAGTGGGGTTTCAAGAAGCACTGTAAAAGTATGAGATGTATTGTCAATAAGAAATAGAAAGGGGAGAGAAGACAAATGGCAATACAATTAAGGGAATGCGTAATTGAAGAGTAAATATGGATGATTACCAGAGAAGCGGGAGGAAGTCAAAAAGTTTAATTTGTTAAAATATGGAGAAAAATGTATAATTGTGTTGGAAAATTAATAAAAATGATATGAAAAAAAATATGAAGTGGATGGTCTTTAATGAGGGTTCCCCACTTCCTCCTCCTCCTCAGACGATGTGGTTACAGATGCATTCCTGGAACAGAAGAAAGAGGCACAAGAATAGGAGAAGCCATTTAGAATTCACCACAGGGAGAGATGTAAGAATAATGAATTCTACAGCCAGTAGTAACAAAGGGAAACATATCTCCTCAATAGAAGAACGGTTGAGTCCTACTGACAGATTTGGCAGGCCATTTACATAAAGGTTCTGCATATCCAGATAATAAGCCTTACAGTTCAAAAGAGCAGAGAGACGACAAGGAAAGATTTAAACTTCAGAGGGGAGGATGTGATATTAGATCTTAGACAAAACATGTTGATGACAATATAAATATCAAATAATCAGGGCCTTATTAAAAAACATTTTGCAGAAGCAAGTTGGGGGGGGGATGATCTCTGAGTGTCCTACGCAGACAGCAAGGTGAATGACTAAAAAAGAGAAGAGGCAGACGAAAGCACACAGGGCTTAATTTATTGATTATTTGTGGGATCGCAAAAGATGCCTCTAACAGACAAGACAAAGAGGTCTGGAGACGGTTCGGGATTTGGCTCTGAGCTCTTGCCATCTCTTTAGATATCAGTGCTCAGGATGCGACGTTTAAGGCGGAGATTCGATAGAAGGAAGGAAGTGCTAGGGAAAGTGTTGAAACAGATTTGCATCATTCTTACGTTCTTGTACTTATGCATTTTTGGAAGAGTAGAATAATTCACCTGGAAGCTCAGCTGTGGCCAAAGTGTGTCTGACAGATTGAAACATTGGTCTAACATTGCAATGACTCCTGTGAAAATGTGTAACCTTGGAAAACTCTATTTGGGATGCCTCAATCAGAGGGAGGGGTTTGTTTTTTGGTTGTTGGCTGTGGGGAGATATTTCTTTCATCACTCCCACCCCACAGGTCAACTTTTACGGGTGGGGGGGAACCACGCCTTGTTGGAGAATGGGTGGGGAAAGGTCTCTCCCAGCACTAATAAGAGAAAGCTTTGTCTCTCTGTCAAAATTATCGACCCAGAACACTTGGCAGAACAGTACATTTAGATTTGAAAAACAGAGGCTTCACAACCCAAACGGCGAAAACAAAGGGGAACTTCATAGTAGCAGGCTCCCTGTGAGAAAGATGTTCAAATTCACCATGAATTGAACAAAATAGGCTCGCAGAAACTGTTAAACCTCCCTGGCTTCTCCTACAAAACTGTACTTCTAAAGAGGGGAGGGAAAGTAATTTAAACCTTAATGTTTTCTCGTTAATTCAGAGCATGCATTTAATAGCCGCTAAGCTGAAAACCAATCTGGCCTATCCTGATCAAGAATCAAATTCAAGAGATTGGTTTCCATTAACGATGCTTCGGATTTGAAGTAATGACTATGGCATGTTCACATGAACTCTGGCTTCAGTGCATTGCGTTGGTTTGATGTTGCAAACAAAGCTGGACGTTGATTAATTTGACTCCTTAACAAATCTGAAATTCACATCAATTAATCTGTTAAATGATACCACCAAGATTGGTGTCAGGTGTCACCACTAGAGGGAAGGCATCAGGAAATTGTCTTCTGGCATTCCAGAGCTTTGGTCATCCATTGAGGGAGTAATCCAAATATCTCTTTAAACAGGAAGCAAAAGCTGCTGTTGTTTACTATGAGAAAGAACATTTTAATTGTATTTCTTTCTTTTTTTTCTTATTTGCACTGTCAGCTGCTCTTCAACTTAAGCTTTCAGAGTGACTGACAGAACAGAAGCAATTATATGACATTTTAAAATTCTTATTTTAAAGGTCAAGGAAAAGGACCCCTGAATGGTTAAGTCCAGTCAAAGGCAACTATGGGGTCCGGCGCTCATCTCGCTTTTCAGGCCAAGGGAGCCAGCGTTTGTCCACAGACAGCTTTCTGGGTCATGTGACCAGCATGACTAAACTGCTTCTGGTGCAACGAGACAGGAAAGGGACAGTAGGGCGGAAAGGCCCACCCATTTGTTCTATGGCACAGAGCAACTTCTTCGGTTATGCCAACTATGGTACTTAACTAGCTAGCCAAAACCATTACCTAGACAAATAGACTGGTTTGGAAACCTTGCTTTCATAATTCTACCCTCCACAGATGCAGGATCTCAAGAATTGGAAGGGAGTAGGGCATCATCCAGACTGACCCCACCTCCAAACCCACAATACATTTTAAGCATTGACTTACAAATTTGCTCCAGAAAGATCATCCATTATGTTGCGAATGCTTAGAATTATGCTGATGCTAAAACTTGTTTTTATATAATCTGTGGAAAAAGCTGTAGATGTTTTAGCTAAAGTTGTCTAATTTTTTTATGGAACATATCACTATGGAATTTTTGGAGTCCTTTCTTTCATTGCTGGGTGGCAGAGATACCATTCAGCAAGCTATCAGCAGTTTATTTCTCCCTTTCTCCACGCTAAATCCCCCTCAGCCATGTAAATAAATATAGTGTTCTTAACACTGCAGAATAATGTCACACCTTAATGGAGCAGAGTGTGTTAGTCTGCTGAAGTGATTGCTGTGTCTATGTGTGTGGGTACACACACACACACACATAACTAGGCAGAGATGGGGGAAGGATGTGTTGAGTCTTTGACAGCTGATCTGCACTGAGATGTCTGGAAAGCTCTGGAGACTGGTGAGGGTTTTGTTTTGTTTTTGTTTTTCCTCCATTTGGCAGCCAATTGAAGAGGCAAATGAGGAAAAAAGAAAAGTAATAGATAACATTGGGTTCTGGCCTTTTTCAAGACCCAGAGGCAGTTTTGTGGTTTGTTGCAGTTGAATAGATACAATAGAACCAAGCCAAACATTCTCTAATTTGGGTATTTCCTCTGAAAGCAGCAGATTTGATGCAGCCAAACTGATCACTGTTACCAAACATTCAAATTGTTTCATTGCTCTTTGGGGCCTTTTTGTTGTTATTACTAGTAGGAATTCTACAGCTGCTGTACTAATACTACTTTTTATTTTTATTTTAGAATGTATTCTATTGCTTTTCCACATGTAATAAACATAATTTAAAATACAATCAACAGCAACAGCAGCTAGTCTGCCATTTCTTGGGAAAAGGTGCAACAGCAGCTTAAAGTTGGAACCAGTTTATAATGCATATTAAAGACTCCAATCCAATAGATCTTTCCAGATATTTCCATGGGTCTGGGGAGGTTGTCTTGATGGATTGTCACATCTCATATGGGAGATGAATGGATGGCAGTTGTTGTAAAAAGATAATGGACCTGTTTTGCCTCTGGCCACCCTGACCTGGCAGGCCAGTTTAATTAATTTATATACCACTTAATGCCAAAATAGACTTCTAAGTCATTTGCAAAGCATAACAACCAATTACACAAACATTAAAATATAAATGCTCACCATTAAAGTATACAATAAAACTCCCATTAAAACAATATTGCCATTAAAATAAGAAACACAAGTTGAGAGATAAAGGGAATGCCGCTGTAAGCAGGTGCATAGAATTATAGAGCTAGAAGGGGCCACAAGGATCATCTAGTCCAACCCCTTGCAATGCAGGAATCTTTCATCCAATGTGGGTCTTGAACCCATAACCCTGGGATCAAGAGTCTCATGCTCTACCAACTGAGCTATCACTGGCGGAATACCCTTACAAATGGGACTCCCATATATTAGCAAGGAATACATTCCATAACACCAGTGCCACCACTGAGAAAGGTCAGCATCATATCACCACAAATCACTAATCATCTGGCCACAGCAAGATCAATTAGGTTCTATTTGTGCTTTCCATAATAGTTCCTTGTTCTTGACTCTCATATTCCTTGAGGCCTTCTTTGCCCACGTGTCTGTGATGACCCATATATGTCTCTGTATGAACTTCTATTTGATCCATCTCTTCAAACCTGGGAGCGAGCTCATCAGAACTAGGAAAACAAGAGAATGATACACCCTGCTAAGGGTTTCAGGAAAACATTGTCTGTGTCTTTTTAAGGGATCCCATAGATCAGGAGTGTACAACCTGTTGTCTTCTAGACCAGTCCCAGCCAGCATGGCCAATGGCCTAGGATGATGGGAGCTGTATTACAACAAGGGTCACAGTTTCTAGAGATGGAGGCAACCATTCAGCTCGAGAGGTATGCAGCTGTGTATGGGCAGCCAAGGCAAAGGTTGGGGGATGTGTAGTCCCATTCACATTCTAATATGCACTCCTACCCACACTCTAATACATGACTAGAAGATTTATGAGATGTGCCATATCCAAATGCACATCAGGAAGTCCATCATGAGTGCCATGTGATGGCTACAGTGCAACCAAGAGAATCTGTATGCAATGGATCTGAATGAATATATATCTACAAGGGTAACCTCATGACTATAGACAATTAAGAGTCAATTATTCTAGCCACCCTTCAAATGAGGCATCCTTCAACAGAGGACTGGGCAAATTTATGAAGGCTATCAGTGGCTACTAGCCATGATGGCTATGCCCTGCATCCATGGTCAGAGGCAGTAATGTTTATGAATGTCACTTGTTGCTAAGCACAGAGTGGAGCTGGCTCTTTTGCTTAGATTCTGCTTGAGGGTTTCCCATTAGGAATCTGGCTGGCCACTGTGAGAAGAAAATGCTGTACTAGATGGGCCATTGGCCTGATCCAGCAGGCTCTTCTTATGGAGGAGTTAAAAATCTTCCCCCAGCTATTTTGGGGGTGATTCACTTGGCAGGATGGAGGACTGCAGTGCAACCAGAGACCCCCAGTTGGAATGTCAATTGCGAGCACACGCCCTGAACCCTGTCCATGGAGCCTACCCCCCAAAATGAGACCAGAGACCGAAGTATGGGTTCAAACTGACCACAACTTTATTTAACTTCAGAATGTGGGAAACTTGGCATAGGCCTTGGCCTGTCTGGGGCTGAGGATGTGTAGGGCAATGAGGTGCAGTGGGAGGGGACTGTAAAGCACAAGCTTACACAGTGTGCCCTCCCACCTTACCTCAGCCGGGAGTTTGACCTACATGCTGCCCCTCTAGGGCCAGGGACTCCCACAATCAACCCTTTAACGGGCCCTGCAAACGCCGCCGCATGGGGGTGCATGAAATGCCTCCCCCCCAACTTGAAGATAGACTAAAGGAGACCTTGCCAAGGCCTAAAAAGCCACCCAAGTTGTGACGAAATGCTACGGGGAAGGAGAAACCTGCCAATGCAGGGAAAATTCCTTCCTGGTTCTGAATACAGCAACCATCTTACGACCATAGCAGCGCCCACTGACCCGGAATGCAAAATATTAGGCTGCAAGAAAATATCATTAATTTGGGAGGGATGGGTGGGTGAACCTGGGAGAGAAGAAAACAAAGTGAGGTTTGGCTGAAGGGGTTGGCCTCTTTCCCTTGGCCTTCGCCCCACCCTCAGCCAGCCATCCATTGTCCTCCCAGGCCGGGGGCAGGACAATAGCCACCCTAAGCCAGGTGGGAGGCACCAGACCAGGTAAGCCCGCTTGGTGTCGCAAACTCCGCCCACCTGTTGGGAAAGGAGGGCGGAAATTTCTGGAAGCCGTAGGATGGGTTTCCCACAGGCATCCGGTCGACCACTGTGTGATCAGGATGCTGATCCAGCAGGTCTCTTCTTATGTTCTTATGCATGTACTTGGAGCAAGTCTCAAGTAACTCAGCTCTGAGTACACACATATAGGGTTGCATTTCCACTCTCCCCCATCTGTCACATTGGCAAGGTGGCTAGATCAGCCTGACAAACAATACAATTTTTCTAATGTGGTCCAGATTTCGATTCTGCACAAAAAATATGTTTCCTATCCATGTCCTTTGCTTTCAGGCAAAATGCTGCTTTGTAGTCTAGCAGCTCAATATACTCCGATAGCAAGTGCTTTTATCTCTCGTGGCTTTATTTTGGCTAGAGGCCCAGATGCAGAACCAAGCCTTGAGGGCAATCCGGCATAGCAGAAGTAGCAGAACCGAGGAAAATGTGTTCAGTAGGAAAATTGCAACTGTAACCAATGGAATTGGAATCTATTTAATACTCGCATTATAATTTTTAAGGGTGGTTCCATGTGTGTGTAGGGGTGTTGCCACCTAAAAGAGAGAATGAGAGAGATTATCCACTCAGTTGAGCAGGATAACAATTTTGGCAGAAGTTTTAAACAAGGTATGATTTGTTGAAGTTGCAGAATCATTGAATCGTAGAATTGTAGAGGGGGAAGGGACACCAAGTGTCATCTAGTCCAACCCCCTGCAATGCAGGAATCTCAGCTAAAGCATCCATGACACGTGGCCATCTAAACCCACCCCACCCTTCCTCCTCTGTTATCCCCCAATTTCCCCCTCAATCCTTTATTTTTTAAAAAATTAACCTTTGGCCTCTTTGAGTTTTTCTGTATCTTTGGAAAAAGTTTCAGCTCCTGCTGGATCTGTATTCACCTGTCTCATGTGGTGAACCCCTGAACTGCAGAATAAAAGGGCTACTTGATGGAGATGAGCCTTGCTTAAGAAACATAATCTTTCTGAGCTCTGGTCTGCGCCTGTGGTTTGTTGTTGTTGTTGTTGTTGTTGTTAATTCAATTTATATACCGCCCTTCATCAAAAGTTCCCAGGGCAGTATACAATGTTAAGAACATATTTTATGAAGCCTAATAATAAAAACATAATAAAAAGCATACTATAACCATACTATCTGTCTATCTATCTATCTATCTATCTATCTATCTATTTATCTATCTATATCATAATAATGCCCCTCCCTGCAGCTTAAACAGGCCATAAATACAGTGGTACCTCTGGCTGCAAACGGGATCCATTCTGGAGGCCCGTTCGCAACATGAAAAGCCCACAACCTGAAGCGCCGTATCTGCACAGGTATGTGGCATGAATTGCGCTTGTGCACATGCGCGAAGTGCGATTTAGCGCTTCTGCGCATGCACGAGTGGCAAAACCCGGAAGTAACTCTTTCTGGTACTTCCGGGTCGCTGCAGGACACAACCTGAAAAAATGTAACATGAAGCAAATGTAACATGAGGTATGACTGTACTTTGATGGCCAAAGGCCAGGGTAAAGAGGAATGTTTTTGCCTGGTGCCTAAAGGCATGTAATGACGGTGCCAGTTGAGCCTCTCTGGGAAGAGCATTCCACAGACAGGGAGCCACCACAGAAAAGACCTGTTCTCATGTTGCCACCCTCTGAACCTCTCAGTGAGGGGAGACCTAGGGAAGGGCCTTAGAAGAAAAGTGCAGGGTCTGGGCTGGTTTGTATGGGGAAAGGTGGCCCTTAAAGGTATTGAGATCCTGAGACATGTATCCTTGGTTATTTTTCAGGCCTTGATTCTTGTTTGCTTTTCAGTGGTTTAACAATCAATGCTTCTTCCCAGAGAATTCTGGGAATTTCAGCTCAACCAACTACAGCTCCCAGAATTCTGAGCGGGGGGGGGGAGGCGGGAGCCTGCCTGTTAAAAATGGTACCATAGTGCTTTAAACCTTGGATTCAAAAGCTTTACCGCCTCCAAGTGTGGAGGCAGAGCATAGACATCATGGCTAGTAGCTGTCAATAGCCCTCTGTGTGAATTTGTCTAATCCTCTTTTAAATCCATCTAGATTCATGGCCCTCACAGCCACCTGTGAGAGTGAGTTCCATATTTCAACTATATGCTGTCCTTTCTTTTATCTGAATGCCTACAAGTTCTAGCGTTATGAGAGCAGGATAAAAACTTTTCTTTACCATGCCATGCATAACTCTGTAAGCGCCTATCGTGTTTTCCGATATGTGGATTGTTTCCTAGATGCGTAGACTTACCAAATGAAGAGTCATGCTGAGGTTCATCCACTGTGTTTAAGGTAAGTGCCCATTCCCTCATTCTTAGGGTCAGGCAGGGTAGACTAGAAATCCTTTAAAGGTTATTGTGAGCTCACAGGCTCTGTGTCCCCCGTGGTGAGACGGCTTCCTCAGCAGCGTGAGTGTACAAATTGAATTGGAAAAGAAAAATGTAGAAGGCAGGTCACTCAAATAGACATTGTCTATTTTATTCAATCTTGCTCTCCTCATTCAAGTTCTTTTTTATATATATATATAAAAATAAAAAACAATTCCCTCTATTTCCAAGGTTCATAGGTATGTGACAGTGCTTATGTCTCCAAAACAGCACCATTCACGCCCAAGAGGGAGGTATCAACTGACTTGAGGAAAGCCTCAGGGTTTGCTGAAGTCAAAAGTAGCTTTAGTAAACAAAACTGTAAGAGGGGCTCCCCCACCCTCTAGAAATCCCAGTGTGAGCTGAGCGTTTTCAGTGACTGTGGAATGCTGACTAACTGTTGTGGGAATAAAAAACAATGGGCAGAAAGTGGGATGGAATGGAGTTGCAGGAGAAGGGTATGGCTGGCAGAAATACGGAACAAGAGTACTCCACACAGCAATATTTTGCTGCACATGTATGTGTGTATTTCTGATGTCACCCACAGCACCATATCCTGTGGCATAGTTCACGGTTTGCTGAAAAGGGAAAGTCTTAAAATCCTGGCAGAGCATAAGTACAGAGATAGGTCATCTGGAGTCACATTTATACCATACATTTAACAGACATCTATGGAACATCACTTCCCCAAAAGAATCCGAGGAACTGTGGCTTGTTATGGGT